TGAAGAAAGGAGATTCTTCAACCATTTCTTGCGAAGAGGTACCTGGTTGAGGCTGAGGTTCTGTATCTGAAGTTTTCACTGTGGTTATTGGAGCTATTTCTCGCAGGCAGCGACGAGTTTTTTGTTTCACTGGTGAATCACGAGGGGTACTAACTCCGTCTGACCGAGTCCTCTTAGTGGGCACCTTACTGGACATCACTGGCTGACAATGCCGCATATCATAAGAGAAGAAAAAAAAATTAAAAAAAATAAAAAAAAAAATAAAAAAAAAAAAAAAAATGTAGCAAACTGTAAATAACAACTGCTCTGGTGTACACTTCAACTATATTCAGTAAATAATCAAAGAGATTCCGCTGAAAAATAGGCAACAACTGAGAGAAGATTTCAGAACACGTCCTTCGCATCAGCTGATCCACTGCCTTGTATGGCAGAACTAAGTATTTTATTGAGTAATTATAACATTCCCTCAAAAAAAAAACCAATACTTATAATGAGAAAAGAGTTCATTCACACGATATTTACAGAAAATAAAAATAAATAAAATAACTATATAATAATATTGAAAACAAAAATTAATTTACAATAATTAAAAATAAAGTAAACTTAAAGATAATAAAGTAAAATAACATCTATATAGATTGTTTACTACCTACTAGGGAAACTCTGAAAAATGCTTATCTCTTCACATGTGGAGATCCTGCACTACTATCTCAATCATATCACTGGTACTAAAAGCCAATGAAGTTTGAGAGTAATAGTGTGCGGAGCGGCCGAACGGGCTAATGTGTGTGCACAGCACCGCCGTGTAATAGATTGAGAGTACTATAGTATAAACATATATTAAAAACTAAACTTTTTTATTATTAGAAATAAATAAGATCAAATAACATAACATTTCTAAATCAAATATATTTGTAATGTTTATTAATCAGAAATCAAATTTAAAAAATCTTTCAAAAGGTCCTATACTAGGAGTTAGGAAAATTATAATCATAAAAAGATAGAAATAGCCTTTGTTCCAGAACCAGAGATTTAAGTGCATTTTAAGGCATTGTGGTGGAAGGGTGTGCAAAGTCCCCTCTCCTGTCGGCAATCTCATCTTAGACAGACTCTTAACTATATTGTAAAAAAATTAATAATTTTTTAGTTTATTTGAATAGTAAATTGAACTCATATATTTATTAATTTTTAAGGTTTGCCAAAAAATACACCTACTAATAGTTTATTCAATAAAACCCCTAATAAATACAACAAAGTAAAAATTTATCTTTATATAGTCAAACCAATGGGCTTACAAGTTTATGTAGAACTAGAAGATTCTAACCGGCTCAAAGTGGACAAATGCGTTGAAATTAAATGTCAACTATGCTCCTCTTCGTGGAGTTCTAGGGGCCGTAAGCCAGGCAAATAGAGATGTTGGACTCCTCTACCGCAAATGTGGCCGAGGGTCAGAAACCCCTGCTGATGTACTGGGCAAATGTCTGAATAACATCTTACTTGTCGTCCAATAATGTAAATCATCTAACGTATGTAAAATAATAATCTAACGTAATGTAAAATTGGAAACGAAAAAGTGTAGTTGCTTCCTGGAAGTGTATTGCCTTGATACTGAAGGCTCAGTGAGATTCGTAGATATCTTAGCTTTTAATGAGAAAGGAAAAAGGCTCTAATAGTTGATTCTAATATGAGATTTAAAACCAACATGAGGATCAAAATCTTAAAAGTACAAAAAGGAAAAGAGGAAATCTATAAAAAATGCACACCATACCTACAGGAGAAATATAGAGGAATTTGGTGAGAGAGAATATTTGGTTTGGGAGTAATCTTAGACTCATTGGGAATCTCACACTACCATCTGTATTAATTCTGGGTATTTTATTGTAAACTCTGTTGACCAAAGTAAGAGGGAAGAAAATGGGAGAAAAGTTGTTGCAATGAATGAATAAATCATAACATTCTGTGTGTTGCATGATGGTCTTGTAATACTTTATCCTATTTGTTCTCTTTTATTAAATTTCTTTTAATTAAAGATTAAATTCTTAAGTACTGATTATGATTGATCAGTATGCTGAAAGATTTAGCAATGCAACACAATTGTGCAGCCATACACTTTTATTGTGCTTCTCTCTATACAAAAAAAGTTTTTAGTGATGACCATGTAATATTTTATTTTATATATACAAAGGTACGGACCTAAACAAAGACACTACACTTCTTATTCCTAGAATTATTTCTCTCTTTTTATGGGTACAAATTAGCAATAACAATAATTATAATTATATAATGATATAAATTGGCAATGAGGCGCTATGTATAATATAGATTTTCAAAGAAATTAAATATTTGTTCGAACTATATTCACGTTCATTTTATGTTGAAAAAAATAATATGATCTGAACTATAGAATACATGTAAATCACAGTTATACAATTTGAGTAACAGATAGTACAATTAAATGAACAGCTGTACAATTTGTAAAATGGCCATTGTTCCCCACTAGGCGGAATGGAGGTACCTCCTAGTAATATTTAAAAAAAAAATGTTTTCATTGAAGAAACTTAAAATTTAATAGAAAAATGAGGAAAGATTGATTTAGTAATTGTGTAATATCCATGAATAATAATTTTGTTGTTTTTGTATAATTTTATAATTAAAATTAAAACAAATTAATTTAAAGTTCTTACTAAATATTTATTATTTACTACTCTCGATCCCAATGTCTTCACATTGACTTTGTTTCTTTCGAAGACATACTTTTCCCACCATTACAATCCTATAACAATAATTATAATTATATAATAATATAAATTGGCAATGAGGCGCTATTTATAATATAGATTTTCAAAGAAATTAAATATTTGTTGGAACTGTAGTTTTGTTCCGTTTATTTTATGTTGAAAAAAATAATATTATCTGAACTATAGAATACATTTAAATCACAGTTATACAATTTGAGCAACGGGTAGTACAATTAAATTAACTGTTGTACAATATTCATATTCATTTATAGAGTCATGATTTCCATGAACTGTCCTGAAGGAGAAAACATTAAAATAATGTTTAGTTTGTAATGTGTACTTTTTTATTTTTCATGGTTTTGTAGTTTTGTAATGTACTTGTGCAAGGGTAGCTCTTTATTGCTAATTGTTAATCATGAGTAGCTTCATTCTAGGTTTATGTTAGTCACTTCCATCTCTGCTTACTACTGTACATAAATTTAACTTTAAATTATGATTATATTAAACTAAAAAAAATTATGATTATTATTTAATTAAACTATAAATAAATGTTACAAATAATAAATTTTCAATAAACACCTATAAAATTGCTACAATCTATATTAAAACTGCTAAACAAAATTAACGCATCACTTGTTTATTTAGCGATTACTGTGTTTCTATAGTTTTTAAATTATATTAGATAAGTATTACAATTAGAGTTTAAGTATAATTCAATCCAAGTATGAATGATCCTCGGTTTATCTTTTTATCTGTTTAATTCTTTTTGTCACCAAAGTGTCAAAGTTTGTCAAAAAATTTTTTACTACCTGTCTTAATTTCATCTTCTACTGACGTCGCTTTCATTTTTTTCTTATTGCAGTGTTGTTTAAAAATATTTCAATGACTGAAAAAGAATTTAAGTTATTACTATTCTATAATAACGTTTATACTTAATTAATATACACAGATTGTGTAAGAGTACCTGGAAGCTCCGTATTTATCACATCACATAGCTTGAACACTTTAGAAGGCCATATGGATGACAGTATTATTCATATTCAAACTTTAAGGATCATTTTGTAACAGAAGTCCAGTAAGGAACAGTTTTTTATTTTGCATATGGACAATGAGGAGAAGGCTTATTGAAGCTAAACTAAGTACATGGTCTCTTTTTCGCCAGAGAACAAATAGGAAACTGATTTGAATTGGCTCATAACATCAATTTTATGTTTAAACTCCTGGAAGTGAGTCATTTTAACTAATGAGATGAGGTTGGGCCAGATGGTTATATTCTAATTTTTAGACACCCTGGTAAACAATATGCTCAATACAGTTTGATCCCACAGATTATATTTCATGGAAACTCTAGCCTGTTCTGAGATGGCATATCTTTTGATCTCTGTTAGAATTAATGGTTGTGCCGAATTTGGAATTTAGTTGCAAGTCCTTAAATGCTCAGAGGTTTATGAAATATTTAGAGTATTATTTCTGAATGCTATTTGCTTCCATAATTGGAAACAGTTTTCTGCTGAAGTGTGTTGTCATATGTGGAACTATATGATAACACAAAGCTCATGGTGTAATAAAGTAGCTCTAGGAGGTTGGTGTCATATTTCGGGAGTGGCTAATAAAAAAACTAGACTTGAATATGATAGATTATGTTTGGTTACTATTCAAGCTCTGTGTGGCACTATAATTCTATTCTTAATATACTTGAAAAACCTCTATACTGCAGGAATTAGTTAATTATTCCTTTGAGAGCATAGATACCTATTGATTTTGGTAATTCTTGCAACAAGTAGTAGCCCGAGCCAGTAGGTTGTACCATTTATCATGTTTACAGATTTTTTTTTTTTGTGTATTAAATACTGACCAATATTTTCCATAAATAAATGTATTTTCGTTAATGCTGAATTATTAGCTGAAAAACTGATTTCTACTTAGTTTATATTTTAAAGAATTAATACAAATAAACTTTTCAAAAAAGTTTTTATTTTACAATTATTTGACTATAAAGAAATCTTATAGTTAAAGTTAAAGGAAACGATAATTGATTACATTTGGTTAAAATAAATTTCTAATAGTATTCATGATTCATTTACTTTCACTAACAAAATTGTATTATTGACATTAATAATCTAAATTAAACATAACAATGTATTTTTCAAAGTATATATTTCATACTTAGTGTACTTAAGTTGTATTTATTTATCTTATCTTGGTGTTAATATTTTTACAAATTAAGAATTTTGTTTATGCTTTTTATTCATTTTGTTTTAGGGATTCCAGTTCAGATGACTAGAACTACTAAGGACGGATGTTATAATTGTTAACAATTTTATATGGCTTTGACAAATTTGTATTAAATTCCTAAATTTGGTGTATCATAATATATTTTTTTTTATTTAATAGCCTTTTATTTATTTATCATCTCTAAAACCTGAATAATGTTTAAGATTTTTGATAACTGGAAGGTCTTAATGTCTTATAGGTTCAAGTTTTACTGATTTTTAAGTGTTATCCTACATTTCTGGTCAAAATACTAGTTTCACTCAGTATTCCTCAAATTTTTTTTTGTTTTTAGGTGAGTCAGTGAACTTAATTTTCCAAAGTTATATCCATCTTCTCATGCATCTTCTTAAACATAAAAAGAAAAGTGACTACAAAAACCTTTTACCACAAAAACAAGCAGGATTCAAAACAAATACATCATGTGTTTTATCTTTTGGTTATATTAGTCCAATTAGCAGAGAATAAAACTACCAGGAACAGTCATCCAAAGAGTTTCTAAATTCAATGCACCTTCATTGAATTTAAGAAGATTGACTAGGAGCTACCACCGTTTTCATTTAATAGAAGGGCTTAAGCTAGAAACCATTTTAAATTATAGATGATCCTCACCCAAGATACGGTCAGTCACTTGAAAGCCGTTGCTTTATATGTGAAAATTTTAATCAAAGTGGCAAAATTTGGCGTTTCATTTAACCAAAAAATTGACGGCTGAAAATTTTATGAGATGTATAATATGTACCCCTAAAAAAGAAAACATCTTGACTGACGGTCTATGTAATTGCGTTTCGAAAACTGACCAGTGCCAAAGTCACTGGTCAGTTGGCTGTTGGCCGTGCTAGGGTACAGTTCGAGTCAGCGAAAATCTGTGATTAAAGTGGTCAGATTACATTAAAGTTTGTTGTAGTGGTCTATTTGACATAGAATTTTATAATATTTTTTAAAAGCAGGATAAAATTAGCTTATATTGAACTAATATCAAATAATTAAATCAGCGGAGTGGAGTGGATTTGAGACAGGAAAACTATCGTGCAAACAGGTTAAAAACCTCACCAGTGAGTGGACCTCTTACTAATTACTATATTTTAAATAATAAATACTTCTTTATGAACGAATTAACAATAATTTTTTTATAAAATAATTATAAACATACAACAAAATGCCAGTAGAAACGGAGGAAGTCACCCTTCAATCAATGATGATGGAAATTCGTCATAACAAAACTGAAATAATAAAAGAAGCAGTTGAAAAAATGAATACCCTTTTTGAAAACGTTTTATCACAACTGAAAATTGTTAAGAATAAGACAGCTGAGCTTGAAAAGGTAAACCAGAATTTAAAAGAAAGAATAAAACGTTTAGAGAATAAAGATAGAAAATTTAATTTAACTTTAGAATTTAATATTTAATGTGTCTGAAAAGGATGACGCTAATACAGAAAATATATTAGGTGTTGTGAAACCAATATTTTTGAGTGTAGGGATTGAATTACCAGAACACTCAAGAAATAACTGTTATAGGTTGGGTAAAAAGTCAAATGATAAAATGAGATCAATCTTAATTTCTCTAAATAGTTACCTATTAAAACAAGAATTGATGAAAAAAAAAGAAATATTCAGAGAAAACAAAATTTTTATTAAACACGATAAAACACCCCAGGAAAGAGAAGAAGGAAAACAAATTTACATGTACCTCAATAGACTAGTTAAGTTCGACAGTACTGTAACTTACAAAAATAAGTATTTCTATATAAATCAAAATAAATTCCATATATCAGATATCGAAGACCTTTTGGTAAGAATTGGTGAAGGAAGACCATAACCGCATTCATCACCAACTGAAGCTAGCATATGGAAAAAATCTAAATGATAAATTAGAGCAGTTTCCATTTCGTGAAAGAAGGCCTTCAAATCAAAATTAATGAACCGATAAAAGATGTTTTAGGTCAGGGAAAACAAAAGAAATATGATATGTTTTCTCTACTTGGAAATTTTAATAAAATCTTATTGCAGTATAGGTAAGATCACAGAAAATGCAACTTATTTGGACAGCTTAAATCTTATGGAACTACTGAATCTTCTAGGACGACAACACGCGATGTTATTCATGGGGAATATACGAAGATATATAAACACGAAGGACCTTCAGGAAGCCGGGATTATAAGGAAGATGAGCGATATCAATACCTCACCTCCTAGTCTACAGTACGCCTCTAGGCTAAATGTTAATGATGAGACAGTTAATTTAAAAATAGTGTCGTATAATATTAACGGGCTACAAAAAAACTGAAGCCAGATTTCCTTAATTTTTATAAAAAAATTTGAAATTATTATATTATTGGAGACGTTTGTAGAGGAAAGGGACGAAATAAAATGTTCACACTATTTTAAAAATTATAAATTATCGTGGATACGTGCTACCCAAAATGTAAAATATGGTCGCGCCAGTGGGGGAATTTTAATGGGGATTAAATTAGATATACTAGAAAAACAAATGGCTTATCTTGTAAATATCTCGGGATGTAATGTGGTAAAACTAAATATTAACAGCAATGATATCATTTTGACTCCAGTATACCTTAACGGAGCTGAATTAAATAAATGGGAGTATGGTTATTCGGAGATTTATAACCTTTTATTGGAAAATAATGATAAAAATTTCATCTTAACTGGTGGTTTCAACGGTCACTTAGGTGTATCACAACAAATCACAAAATATTTATTAAATGGGAAGACAATATTTAATTATAAGCATAGAAATAGTAAAGATCAATCAATAGATAAAAAGGGAGACAAATATTAGAATTGTTCACAATCTCTGGTTTAATTGTGCTAAATGGTAGAACAGAAAACGACGAACTTGCCGAATTCACATATATTGGTAAGAGAGGTCAGTCAGTGATTGATTACTGTTGTTTCACAACATATTCTCCCTATTATAAAATATTTTAAGGTAGAACCGCAAATATTTTCGGACCATTTGCCCTTAGTAACCTATTTGGAATTGAATAAGAACGAAAACAGTCAATAAGGCAGACTAAATTATTACCAAAATTAAGGTGGCTAGAAAAAAATAAGATAAAGTATCACGAAAAATTAGAAAATAGTGTACAAAAAATAAACAGTTCTATTGATTCGTGTTTCGATACGATCAAATATATTACAAAAATAATTAAAACTGCTGCGGGAAATTCCAATTATAAAAAAATAACTTTAAAACAAATAAAAATAAATGGTGTGATAAAGAACTCGGGAAAAGTAGAAGAATAGTATTTGGGTTATTGAATACTTACCGTAAAACAAACCATATAGATGACAAAGTAGTTTATATAGATGCAAATAAAAAATATAAAAACATATGTGAGAAACAAGAAAAGAATACACGGAAAATATTATTGAAAAACTTTAATCTATTACTGATACGAAACAATTCTGGGAACAGGTAAATAAATTTAGGAACAAAAATTTAACATTCGGAGAAAATATTTCATGTGAGGAATGGATCAGGCACTTTCGAGATTTGTATAATAAACCTTTAATAGAGCAATCTATACAATACGCTGCATCCTTAGTTGAAAACGATTCTTAAGATAACCCATTTACTCTGGCAGAGCTAAATGAAGTTTTGCATAAGGCTAAGGTAAATAAAGCACCAGGCACTGACCGTATTTCGGTTAAGTTTTATAAATATGCACCAATAAATTTTTTGGTGTACGTGTTGAATATATTTAATAAACTTTTTAATTCAGCTAAGATACCCAATAGTTTTAAAAGTTAAATTATATTCTCCATATATAAAACAGGTAATATTAATAACGTTACAAATTATAGGGGCATATCACTCAACAACTCGATTGAGAAAATTTTTACAGGGCTGATAAACCTAAGATTAATAAATTGGGCAAATGAATTTAATATAATAAATGAATGCCAGGCAGGTTTCCGTAAAAATTATTCAACCATTGATAATATATTTAATCTCATTAATATCATAGCTTTGAATTTATATATTAAAAGGAGGAAAGTCTATACATTCTTTGTAGATTTCTCATCAGCATTTGACAATGTGGATAGAAACGCACTTTTTTATAAACTATATGAACTAGAAGTCTCCTCAAAGATTATAAATTTAATAAAAGCATTGTATAATGATACTGAAGGCTCAATATGGATAGGTAATGAATTAACGAACAGTTTTAAAACAGAGAGAGGGATAAAACAGGGATGTATTATGAGTCCATTTTTGTTTTCCTGCTATATCAATGATTTAGAGAATTGTTTGGGTGGTGGATTATCTATTAATAATAAAGGATTTAAAATGCTAGCATATGCAGATGATATCGTAATTTTGGCCACACCATGTAGTACTTCAAGATATGATATATAATTTGGAAATGTATTGTAGGACGTGGAATTTAAATATAAATTTAAATAAATCTAAAATTATGACATTTAGAAAAGGAGGGAAACTGGCGAAAAATGAGAAATGGAAATTTAATAAACAAACTACACATATAGTAAACTGTTATAAGTATTTAGGGATATTATTAACGCCAAATTTATCAATGAGTAAGCATTTTAAACAAAAAGTTTATAAAACAATGATCAGTATAAATGTTATATGGAAGAAGCTATTTACTTATAATAAAATTAATTTGAATTCAAAACTTAAAGTTTTCAAAGCTGCAGTTAAATCAATTATAAGTTATGATACACAGGTGTGGGGAGGTTGTGAATATAAAGAAGTTGAAAAAGTTCAGTACTATTTCATTAAAAAAATATTAAATCTACCCAGATATACTACCTGCATATATTATTCATATAGAAATGTAATAAACTCCGTTGTATCTAGAAAATATAAAAGCGCACCATAATTATATTTGTAGAGTTATTCAGTATTCGGATAATAGGTTACCCAAAATAATAGTAAAAGAAATAATTAAAAAAGAAATAGGCTGGTATAAAGAGGTAAAACGTTTAACAAATCAATACCAAATAGATTTTGATTTTAATAACGTAAATAAATTGAAGGTGCATTTTCAAGAGAAAATGCAAATAAGAGAAAAACTGGCAATAGAATTAGAAAATCGGTTCAAAATCCAAGCAAAAAATTCAAATAGAA